TTTTCAGCTGCACCTTTTCGTCCAGGGATAGCTCTGGGTTAATGTCCACAACTTGGGTCAATGCTTCTGGCTGCGTCTCTTCCCCTGGTGGCATCTCCACAGCCTTGGGCCCGACTAGAGACTCGAAGGCGTCCACCTCGACTTCTGGTTGTTTTTGGGTCGACAAGCCAGCGGTCATGGCTTGATACAACACACCTTTCCTAGTGAACTTGCGCAGCTGGCTCTCAGTCAATTGGTCCACACAGTCTAGGACCTCTCGTGGACGCTGCATAGTGGCAACAATTTCACCCTTGGAACTCTGATTGGGCATGGGTTTGGGTTGGTCAAAGGCAATTGGATGGGGTCCCAAGTGTCTACCAGCATGACGGGTGGTGGCAAATAACCTCCTGGGCTCCACTGGCTGCTCCAACCTTTGACCAAACACGTTCCCAAGTTGCTGTCATAACTGCCAGCAACTTCAACCTGTCTCACAGTGTACAGTTCTAGGGTCATGTCTTCAACTAGCTTCAGGTGCTCAGTTCCTGACTTCGCTGTCTTCTTGTCAGGGATTGACCCCTGACCCCACCGTCAGGGCACCCAACCACACCCCAGAACCACCCTCCCAGACTTCCCCCACTTCCCTGACCTCCCCATCCCTACATATCTCTCACAACTTCAGCCCACATGCGAGCCCACTGTTAGAACGTGCGGATTCGGACGACTCCGGAATGGAATCGGAGACTTATCATGGAAGGACCTTGGCCTCAGCGACTCATGTGGAGCGCTGTGCCATTGCTGGTTGTCCTAGGGGTCCCTAATTTCGGATCTAGCAGAGGGAAAGTCTCTTGGGGGGAATTCAAGTTGATTTCGGACTGAGGTTACAAGTTACTAGGTACATTGTATATAAGGAGGGGTCCGGAATCAAAAGGAACAAGGGTAGGACAAAAGGAGACAAAGGGAGATGGAAAGAGGAACAACACCGAGGGTCAAGTGTTTGACTCAATGGTGTTTCCCAAAGGAGGAATGAAGGGCCAAGGCCCAAGAAGGAAGGAAGGAGGATGGGAGTCGGGAATGGCTAGCTGACTGAATAGAAGGAAGCAGCAGCCCAAATAGGAATGAGGGAGAATAGCGGAATTGAAATGGACAATGCAATAGTTGCAAGGTCCGGAGTAAGTCCGGAAAGTCCGAACTCGGAGGTTAAACTCCGGAATATTGGCAAAGGTAATTAAATGGAATGAGCTAACCAATACAATGGGTATAAGCGGAGGTGGGGTCAAAGTCTGAGGTCGGAGCTAAGACCGGAGGTTCCAGAGACGAGACGTGAACGGGATACCGGAGCGGAGGTCCGGAGTCGGGAGCATAGGGTTTGCGTACTCGTCTGGAAGGTGTCGAGGTTGGGGTCGGACCCGGAATGTTCCGGAGTTGGACCGAAGGTGGTGTTGGAGCCGGAGGTGGGATAACCTCTTGGGAGTCGGCAAGGAGAAAGTGACGGAAGGGAAGTAGGGCTCCGGAAGTCGGAGTTCGGAGTTCCAGGAGCCCGGGGCGGAGGTCGGGGTTGTATGGATATGACACCCACAGGAAAAATCACGTGGGTCAAGGCAAGCAACTCACCTTAACCCATGTGACACCTTTTCCGAGTTGCAGGAACATGCTTGGCTTCTACCTGGAGTCACGTTATGAACTGTACAGTACACTTCCCTTTTATAGTAGCCAAGCGGGGAATAGGGAAACTTACCCTTCTTCTCAACTCAATCCCCGCTTAGGCAAGTTGTAGTTACCCTCTGTAATACATGACAACTCAATCCCCGCTTAGTCCCTTCAGTGAGTTTGAGGAGCTGAGGACAGGGTCTAGTGCCCAACCACCCGGAACACTGCACACACCCAGGCCTGAGGTTGGGGTGTCCCTGATCGAGGACCGAGCCCTGACACTTCTTGACCTCAGCTGGTGCATCTGGTAATAGCATCACTTGATAAATTGATTGATGGTGCAACTGGCTCCTGAGGGGAACCTGGTGCTCCAAATCTGCAACCTGCCAATATTCGTGTTTGGGCAGGTGCATCGTGTGCAGCTGGTAGGTTGTCTGTACATCCTCAGCTATAAGCAATGGAACCGTCATGCCCTTGAGGACATAGACTTCCACATCCTGCAACAGGACGTGCCCCAGCTGCGATGGTAGATAAAGATCTATGACTGTGTAACCCTGACATTTGGCCTTTCCAGTCAGTTGGACCAGATTCAGCTTCATCCCTTGCCGAAGTCTGGATCCCCCGCTTTTAATGCGATCAAATAATTCAGCGGACATCAGTGTGCAGGCGGCTCCAGAATCAACCAACGCCTCGACCTCATGGCCGTTGATGGCATTCACACGACATCGCACTCTACATGCATCAGATCCCAGGGACTGCTGACCTGGGGGATGACCGAACAACTTGTGTGCCTCATATATTTGCCCACGGTCCTGGTCGCACCGATGAGTTTCTCTTCATGGGGAATTTCACCCCAAGTGCATGCAACAAGGTAGGCATCAGGTGTCTCTTCAGGACTCTCTACATCTAGTACGTCCGCAGGATCTGAGTTGGACAGGGTACAAAACTCGGTGTAAGCAACTGCAAATTCCGCTTCCTGCCCTTCCACCAAGGTGGTATGTGCCTGTTGATAGGAATGCTCCAACTTGGAAGGGCCACCTCGATCCTTGCGATTACTCTTGGTCCGGTATGCCTTACAAGGTGGACAGTCGTTGTCCCAGTGCAGGGCACTCCCGCAATGTCTACAGGGTTGAGGTGGCTTCTTACGTGATTTGAAGTCACTCATGGGGTAGGTGTGGCTCTCTGATGCTGCGGCTGCACTTCGAGCTTCTACTCGATCTGTTCCATGTTTGTTCCTTTCGAAGTTCCACTGGCGACCTTATTGGCAATGGCATCGATGCTGAACTCTTTGGTGGCCACCAGCTTGTCGTATTTGAGTGCGACCATTCGTTGGAGTGCCTCCACTGTCTCAAGATGGTCAATGTTGACGTGGGCCCACCATCCTCTGGGAGCGTCCTCCAATAGCCTTTGGACTTCACCCTTCAGGACATCCTGACTTGGTACATCAGCCAGAGGGTAGAGAGTGTGCAATAATCGCAACTTGCACATCATGAAATCAAGCGGTGTCTCTCTCGTGTGGCCCTCACCTTTACGGTATTGACATGGGTGGTAATGCTCTCGTATTTTGTCGATAAATGCAGGCATCAAGAAGTAGTGTAATATATAGCTGTGTAAAGCCTCCCAATTTCGAGTGAAATACAGTTTGTCAGCTGTTGGGACAGTAGTCCACCAGTCCGCAAGTTTGCCCTTGAACCTCTTGGGCAGGACTCCTGCCATTTGTTGGGTGAAGGCCACCAAGTGTCTTGCTAAATTTTGACAGATACTGCACCAGGTTATATAGCTGTTGATCGAGCCATCGAAGGAGGGAAATCTGACGTAGTGTACTTACGATCGATGTAAGGTTGTGTCCGGTCAAATGGGAGGTATGGCCTGATTCCTGGCATTTGGAGAGGAATCACAGCGCCTGGCCCTGGAGGTGGTGGAGGTGGAGGCGCCCCTGCCTGACCTCCTGGCACAGGTGGTGGCAGTGGCAGTGGTGGTGGCGGTGGCAGCGGTGCACCTGCCTGACCCCCTGGCAGGAGCGGTGGTGGAGGGGGGCACACCTGCTTGACCTCCTGACAGAGGCAGTGGATAGTTGTGTGGAGGTGGCCCACCCTGGGCTAGAGGTGGGTCTGGAGGAGCAGGCGGCTGCAGTGGTTCGTCGCCTCAGTGACATTGTGGCCACGGTTGGGGGCCAGATCTAACTGGCTCCATACCGAGGTTTATAGGAGCGAGAGGATCTCGAAACAATGAGCGGGTGGGACCCGTATTGGGCCCAGGTCTGTGTCAGGGACGCGTCCAGGGTAGAGGGGGTCCGGATGTATCGCCCAGCAGAAGGGCCCTTGCAGGGTGTGAACCAGGCGTGTGTGCTGGCAGATCCGGGAAGGGACAGCGGTCCCTGGCCACTTAGACTGAAGTGGAGAATGTGAGAAGGTTACTTCTTCGGTTCCCACTTCAGGTACATTTATGTACATGCAGCTTGAGTCACATGACGAGTGCCACATCATCCTCGGAGACAGCCGCAGGCATCCGGGTGTCCCTGTGGGGGATCCCGAGAGCGTCCGCTGCATGTGCGCGTGTTGGGCACAGCGGGAAGCCATCTGGGGTGTGTGGGCCAGACAGGTCAATAGTACATTGATACAAAGGAAGGTGGTCCATGTAGATAGAAGGAAATAAACAGGAAGAGGAAGATGAGAAGGATGAAATAGAGAAAGAAGAAGAAAGAGAGAAAAGAAAGGGGAAGAGAGGGAGGAAGGAGGAGGGAGAGGGATGGACAGCGGGGAGTGGGTGTGGTGTGGCCGGGTGGGTCCGGGTGGACCCGGGTCAGGTGGGTGTGCCCTGACAGTCTGTTCCTATCGTTCTGATACCTCTCGTCAGTGGGGCCCACCTCTGTCTTTCTGCCCTTGAGGCCCTGAACAAATTCTGCATAGTCCAGATCCTTCTTGGGATCGTGGAGTGTATAGGATTCATGAGGACGGTCCATCATTGGTATGGTCCCTTCATCCCTTCGTAACATAGCTGCAGTGACGTTAATGCTGGGTCTGGGAACAGGGAGCTCTATTGGCAGCTGCTGGCGTTGATGTATGAAGGTGACTTTGTTGACTGCTGGTTCATGCTGACTGTTTAGTTCCCAACCCAACGTCTCATGGGTCGACTTGCAGGTAGGCCTAATCTCTGCAGACCACACCCTTTCGACCGATTCCCAGTCAGTGAAAGTGGTATGTGGCACACTGGCCAGCCTGAAACCACCGAGCCGCAATTTGTCAAACTCTCATGAAGGGTCGACAGCTCTTTTTATGGAATCGAAGTGCTTCTCGAAGGCGTTGAGTCATTGGTCAAGGAAGTGCCATACGATATCGAATTCCTTCTGTGACGCCCAGCCTTTCTCAGCCAGCATGAGTGAGAAATCGCCACATGGGTCTATAACGAATTTGCCTGTGGCGAATTTGGTGGCAGTGGCCAGATGTGTGAACGCTGAAATCTTCGAGAACATATCAGTCAATCCTAGTCAATCTAGGGGCGTGAGCCGATATCGCAGTGTTGGCTTAGCACCGTCATTGGGGACGAGTTCTCTTTCGAGCCGGGCTGGCATGATTCTCCACCAATTATGGATTTTGGTCATAGGGGCATCGGGATCGTTGAAAACTCCACCCTCAAACTCTCTGATGGCCTCTATGATGAGTGTGAGATCTCGTCACCTCCAAACAGCTTCAGGCGAGGTTCGCACATCACCCCATGGGGAAGACGTTGCTGCGGAGTTGGGTACCTGGTAGGAGAGGGTGTCTTGTGTGGATGACGCCAAAGCATCATGGTTGTGCGTCGATTGAGCTGGCATCCTTAGTGCTCAACTGATGTTCAATTTCAAAGTTACTAGGAGTGGCCGAGGATGAAATCCGTGCAACCCTGAATCCAATCAGTTCAATTGTAGCACTTTCCCAAAATACACCCTCTGGGAGATAGTGAGAAGTGGAAGGGAGTTAAAATCAAGGAGCAACCCGAGCATGTTCGATATGCTTTCCGCTACTTGTTCTGCCACTTGGACCCATCGAAGCTGTCCTCACAAGATTCCAATAGACTCTGGAGCGAGTTTGACAATCTTCTCAAGCGAAACTTTCGTTCATTGCGCTGTCGGGAGTTGATTTCGAGTTACCCAATGAATTCCTTAACTCAAACGTAGGTTTAAATCCTTTCAATTTTACTGTCAGCAACATGACATCACCTTGCCTTGCAGGATCACAATTCGACTGAATTGTTAAAAGAAGCCAAGAAGGTGAGGGATTTCATGACTAGAAACGAACTCAAGTCCTCCCCTTGGCATATTTATCGATCAGTCCTTCCCTTCACTCCACCCTCATCCCCACTTTTCAAGCTCTATGGACACCTTTCCGATCCCATTCGGATTTTCAGCATTGCGGGAGAATTTCCTGGCTATTCAATTCCACTAAGCGAGAATACACTCAATGCTCGAAAGGTCATGGAGGCTGAGCTGCCAAAGCTATGTGAAAAGGCTAATGGATCCAGGACAGGGAAGACTTTGATGGATGAGACAGAGGGCATCAATCACAAAGCCGAATTTCTTGTTCCTAGTATCCGCAATGGCATTGTGACCGCTGCAGCACTCTCACGAGATGGCCATTTCATCGCACTTGGCTTTGGAAATGGTGTCATCGAGGTTGCTGACATCGATCATCACCAAACCACCTCTCAATTCCAATGCAACCCACCCAATCCTCCCGCTTGGATTGAATTTATCTGTGGCAGCCACCAGATTGCCACCGAAGATAATGATGGAAACATCACGGTCTTCAGCCATGGTTCGCCGTCTGTTAAGGTCGGTACCCTCCCCAGTGGGCATTGCCCTCCCGTTACTCTAGTCGCAGACAATGCCTCATTCATCATACGAGTTCCTCTGAACATTGACTGCCGTTGGTATGAAAACATGGTGATCTCATATGTTTCAGATGAGCCATCCATCCACCCTCTTTCCCCTCCTCGTTCCATTACTCCGGTCTCCAGGTCAACCATGCCTGACTGTTGCACACTTGGACTCTCCCCTGAAGGATGTTACGTCATCGTCCATGATGGCCATAATCTCGCTATTTGGTCATTAGAGACGCGTGAGTTGGTTCATTTTTACGTGTCTGGATCCACACTTCCCGTCTCCTACAACACATGCCCTCGCCCACATCTCATATCCCAAACCAAAACGAAAATCCCTCTGCACCTGGAGAATGGCATCCCTCGTGCGCAGAGCCTCATGGCTGGGCATGACGCAGATTTATCGTGGCTGGAGCGACTATCCCACGAGCTCTCTTCAGAGAAACCGCTTTCCATCCTCATAGGGCGAAAACGAGGTAAGACTCCTGAAAGGCGTGGAACACAGACGATCTGGCTCAATGGTAAACTTGAACTGCTTCTCCCACCAAACTACCGCCCGATCATTCTTGACAGGCACCAGATTAACAGTCAAAGAGTATGGTACGGGGATCGAATGCTGTGGAATAAGAATCGCCTCTACCTTCCTTGCGCTAACAAAGATGGGACTCGATTCTTGGTCCAAGGTCGCATGCAAGCCCCAATCGTTGTCGATATTAGCCAACTTGTCTAGTTCCTTTGCGGTGTTTACTATGATGCTTTTTTTCCTTCATTGTTTTGTACATGTGCATTAATGTATTTGAAAGTCGGGGACGAGCACTACATTATCCGCAGTGTCCGTGAGCCTTCATCTGACAGACCCAGCAAGAAGGGCTTGTTGGGCGCGCAGGCCTGCTATCATATAGAATTATTATGTTCGATAGACGTTACTGTGATGGCCGTTATTCCCTGCCCATGCTGTTGTAAATACCTATGTCGCATAACTGCGACATGAGCGATACATGAGTTAATGTGTAGAGAGTAAATAGTGACTCTCACCTTAGAGTCGAACGCGAGAACTGAGTTCCAAAGATTCACCCTTTTTATACCCGACCAATGGTCAGCGGCGAGATTGTCGTAATGGACGAAACCAACGGAAGGGAAAACAAACAAGCAAGAACTTTGCCAAAGCTCCCTGCCACTCATTACCCTTTCGATGTAACTCGACGTTGATATTAGGGGAAAAATGGATTTCATCTTATTGTTCATGGGACTCTGATTGGTTCAACATACATACCGGCTGTTCTCCAATCCTGCTATTCGGGGTCTTTCGACAACGCAGTCGAGACCAGCGGATAAACAAGGCCATCGTTAGCCCTTGATTTGAACAGTGGCACCGAAGCATGAGAAAGTGATTTATTGGTCCCGTTGCCTAGACTTGGTCCTCCATATTACCATAACATGCAGTTCGGAAACGTGTCGTACGTTCCTGATATTCCGGTTTCCCCCTTGAAACCCGAAGCTGAGGTAGGGATCCTGCTTGAAACAGAGGATAATTTCATCGTCATAATGCAGATATTGTGTTGTGAGGTGACCTGTGGTCGATGGAGAAATTGTTGTCACAGCCTCGATTGCATCAACACGCATAATACGACATGCCCGATCTGCGAGTGCGACTCTGTACCTAAGGTTTTTACACATCAGCACACCGAGAATACTCGCAATCCAGCTAGGAATTCCAGACGTCCTCAGGATCTCGATCCCGACAATGGTAGCACAAAGTTCGGAGCGTTATATTACTTTTCAGCCGGCAGTAAGTAAATCCACAGGAGTCATCACGACTAGTACATCTTTTGACTCCAACCAGTCGTTCCATACGCCGTTCGTCCCTCCGCGGTAAGAGCAGAGAAGCACTGGTACTATATATGAATCCGAAATCGGAGCGCTTTCGAGCTGTTGCCTGGCCGAAGACTTCCCCAACATGTATGACCGGCCAAACTACGTATCACCAGAATCAATCAGCGCTAGAGCTGACCGCCACCCGAAATTCCAGTGACGGCGAATTGACGAAGCCCTCTACCAGTTGTAGTCACGTCAAAGGGATCGGGTTGAGGGCCGCCCGTCGCAGCCGGGAGTCAATTGTAGACTCCCTGCCTCTGTGGCTTGGCTCAATTACCTTTTCTGTTGCTTCATCGTGAGGTAGTCGACCCAGCGAGCTAGGCCAGGTCACGAAAACCCTCCGGTTCAATAACCACTTATAAGGACGTGGCGCTTCCCGACGAAGTTATGCTCCCAAGTCAGATCTCAGTGTTGATCGGAGTAGCACCCAAGGCCCAACATCCCAACACGAATTTAAACGTGAGCAACAGCATATCTCTGGACACTTAAATATAACAAACTATGGCCTTTCGGCGTTTTCAGTCCGAATGAATATTATGCAGCTTCATGCCTATCTGGGACTTGATACCGTCGAATGGATTGCCCGGACTCATCTCGTTTCCAAACAAGGCAATGCTACTTTACTAGGATCGTTCAATTGGCTGTGCTTTGCATTGTGGTTGATGCAAGCTGCTTCTTGTCTCAACTCAAGCGCTTCCGCATATATTCTGTGTAAGGGCTAAGCGGGCTTTCCGGGCTTCATATTTCAATCCTTGCGTTCACTATCGTCCACATCGTTAGCCGCGATGTCCGGAAAAGACCAGCTGCCACCCGCCTCTCGACATCAGAAAGGAAAGCTCCCTGCCTACCAGCCCTTCTCTCATGCTCTGCAGTCATCGGGGGCCGCACCTGAAATCCAGATCGACGGTCCCGAGGCAACCCAGAACCTCGATGATTTTTCCATAGGATCTCACCCCGAGCGATCTCTTCCGATCGTGCCAACTGCGCCGTCTTCCCGCAGCCTTGGTGGCTCGGCGACGTCGTCACTCCACCGCATAACCAAGTGGTTTGGGAAATGGTCAAGTCCCAATCGCCGTCACAAGTCACCTCCATCCCACCCGGAACCGTCTGTGGCAAATATACGTCTTCATCCAGCTCCTGACACCTCGCGGCTGTCTCATCTCTACCCTGAACAGAATGTTGACGGTAACCGTCGGTCACCGTCCAGCATCCAGACTGTCGCCGACACCACTTCGAGTCTCCACTCACAACTAGAACGCATGGGACTGGATTCAGATGTGCCCTCATTGTCAGAAGTGACGGCTCTGTCGTCGGCACCAGCTAGTGATAGAAAGAAACCGGTCATTATTGGCACTACGAAGCTCCTTCTCCAAGTCGGTGCCTTCGCTCTCAAGGCTTCTCCCATTCCGCTTCTGGGAGAAATTCCCAATCTACTCCTGAAATTTCTCCAAGTCTACGAGGTGAGCAGTGTTTCAGTTTCAGGACCGGTGGCACGTCCGCCTGATTATCTCACAGTCAGTTGATAGTAACAGCGAAAATCTCAAAGGGCTAAATGACGACGTCCATAAAGCCTACACCACTATCTTGCGACCGCTCCAACTGTGGACGGACAATATCCCTCCCGAAGTAACGGTTTTAATCAAGGAATTTCATTCGTACGCACATTCTGTTCTTCAGTTACTCATTCAAATTCAGATCTCGTACCCAGGGCCTTGAACGAGCAAATGAAGAAAATTGAGGAACTTTCGCGTCAAAAGCTTCCGAGGAGATTACTCTCAGTGTCCGATGTGACCCAGCACATAGACGCTGTGAAGGCTTGCATCAACAAGGCTGTCATCTCATTCTCGGTTTGTTTCCTTAGTACCTAGTATGAACATGTTAACTAATGCAAACATACCCATATATAGACGGAGGCAGCAATTCTGACACTCCTTCACAAAATTCAGTCTTCGGTGCGAGGTACGTTTCTATTCACATGATCTTGGACTCTTTACTAAAGCCAAATCCAAGATAGGTTTTTTTGGAGATGGCAATTCCTCGTAGTAAGCTGGTTCAATTTTCCAACCCGGGCACCGAGTGCACCAATTCATTTCGGACTAGCCAGCCCAGGCACTCATTGTGTGTGGCAACCGTTATCCTGAGTGGGAATGTGATCGATGCATAACGGCCGGTTCCTTTGATTTGCTATTTCAAGTCATCCGCCCTAACCTGGACGGGCATTAAGTAGTCTAGATAAGATCACAATTAAGAGTGTGGCCGCAGTTCATGGAGGCGCGGCCGCTTCGCTCGTGGTACACAAATAAGATTGGCACGTACGTTTGGTTACTCAAATTTAGGTAAGTATGCATGTGGCTCATCTCTTAGTACTATTCACTGTGGTAACCGTTGCTTCTATATTTCAGAGAACACAGATGCAACTACTCAGGCGGGCTGTGGCAGCCGCGTGAAAGATTATAAATCACGCTACAGTATATGGAAACCGCCCAGTTCCATGTGGCAACTCGCAGACCATTCTCATGGACGTATTAGGCCGAGCTCGAGCACATGGGTATGTGTTCTCTGTGACGTATTTGCTTATGTAAAGCTCCATGTGCCGAGGCTGCCGTGGATTTCAAATCCATCGTGCACCCGCGCGCCCCGATCCACATCCTAACCTTCCATTTCATTGTGACGTATATATCTTATTTGCCGATTCCCGGATTCCCGTGCTACGGCACACTCGCCGAAGAACCTTCATCCAGTTTTGTACGTACTCGGCCGCATCCTGATAATATTAATCGCGTTGGGATATATGACGCTCGTCTTCGATGGACTTCTCACTAGCCTCAAGGGAAGACGATACCTGAGCCCAAGGTGTATTGATATTAACTAGGTCGACTTCAGGTTCAACAATCCGACCTACCATTACTCGCACAATGAAGACTAGCATCTTGACCTCCATCCTTTCCGTCGGTTGTTTCCTCATCTCCCCAGCTCTCGCCCTCGTTGGCAGCATTTCAGCACCTACAACCGTTCTCCACCCAGGTCATAAATTCACCGTAACATTCCATACATCCCTCTACATCCAAAACAACCTCCAATTCTACGCTCTCTTCGGGATATGGCCTTCACCAGGCTTGGGCGAATCATACTTGGGAATTCCTATTCCAGCTGTTGGCCCCGTCCCTGGTGCAGATGGTGGACTAGGATTGGGTAACTTTCGAGTCGCACCCAGTGGGAAGGGAAAGCTGGGCATCGATGTTGGTGGGATCGATTTGTGGGAAGCAACGTTAGCGAACACTGGGTCGAAAGCTTACAACGTGACGTTGAGATTACCTGTGGATTTGACGACGCCAGGAAATCGAACGACCAACTATACACTTCAAACGGGTGTGCTTGGGACGGTATGTTATTACTCCCCGCTTATTTTCCCCGGCTTCACGCATTCACATTATATCTCTTTCCCTTCCTACCATTATTGCGTTCAAATCTTATTCACACTCAACCACGTCATGTTTACTGGCTGCCCAGGTGGGAGCATCCGGGCTGACAACGCTGTCCTTTCACAACACGACAATCAGGATCAAGTCTCCCTAATCTCCCGGTGGCCCCCAATGATGTCGACCCAATCAGTAGTGTCGCATCGATTCCCCTTTCGTCGTCGGATGAATACTATGTGTAGATATCAGATCCCTACATGTCCTTGGACACACACGATTGGCACACCTCTCATGAGACCCCTTTCCATCACTCACAAACGGAATGGACGTTATATTCGGATTCCTCTGTATACACTTCTGTATCTATATTGGCTCAAATGAAACTCAGACGCATTGGACGATGTATTTCTGGACTGTCTAAATTTTGGAATTAGAGTGCCCTGAGAATACATATTGGCGTAGATGATCGCCACACCCATTGGCCCAGCGGCACAGTTAGCTCGGTTCGTTATGCCCCTCGTACAAGTCCAACAGCGAATGCACACAACGGGCGCTCTGGGCGAGTTATTCCTACTTCCAATACCCAGAGTCGGTCAGATCTTCCGGGATGGGATCGTCATCCCTGTTCTTATGTGGTTGCGTGAGCGAGGCCTCAACTTCCAATGTTATTCCTCACGTTGCGCGCCACTTCTTATTCGTTTGAAGGAGCGCATCTCTGAGTCATTGGGCCTGAGGGATTCAGATTGATCATGGCCTAGTGGCGAGATGATTCGCTTAGTAAGGGAGGGATCTGTCTTTGCCTATGTGTATGTGTGATACTGCAGCCCGGGTAACCCCATCAGAGGACGACGCAGAAGTTTATTGGCATTCCGCGAATGGAAAAGGGATGAGGGAACAGACAGCTGATGTCTGAAGAATCGTGATAATATTCTCGGATGGGCGATCGAAGAAGATCATGGCTAGAAGAGGAAAGCGAATGTACTTGCTAAGCCACACGACGGACGTGCTAAGGCGCGGACAAGACACCTCTGGTTGGAAGTAGGTTCGAAACCAGAGGTGTTTTGTCCGCGTGTCATCGTCGGTATAGATTGCTATTGTGCAGGATACAGTATCGGCTGACGGCGCAAGAACTGACTGCCACGGCCGAAATGTCGGTGGGGCGAATCGACGGAGCCCTCCGCTAGTCGTAGTCGCCCAGCCTTGATCGAAGTCGCAGACAAGTTGCTCGGATTCGTGTTTCATGAAGAACATCATAACGGAGTGCGTGTGATGATAATACAGCGCTACAGTTTTGGGTCGCTAAAAATCCCGCACCTTTGTTACACGAACAGCCGATGCTTATTTGACCTCGGATCCGGGAGCCCCTGCCAGACCTTTGCGTCAGTCCAACTGCACAACGAAAGGGTTCTCCTCCCCCATTTCTTCGGACAAAGCCTGGTCCATCCAGGGAGAAGATTGGTTGAAGAGGGCGGTAAACTACAAGCTAACCCTTTCGATCACAGGGTACGTGACGCATGTGTGTCCTCGAGCATGGATGCACCATCGAGGGGGCTCCTCATCTTGGGTGGGCATGTGAACTCCCCACCCATGCCTAGGGACGTGCGGATGTTGCACACGCCCAAGAGCGAGTTGACACAGTTTTCCTGCCGTTGATCCAAAACTGCAGTTAGTGCCCAGATCCATGAACAATACCACAGTCAACTGAGGCCTCTGGCCTTCGATACGAGGTCCAACAAGCTCCGAAGGAAGGTCAGAAGTAGACGCATCAACGCGCAGCGCCGGTAGCCAAGCTAGCCATGTAACTAAACCGTCTCGATGCAAATGGGTCATCAAGCACCCCAGTGCAAGTAACAATATACAAGGCTGTTGAGGCTTGCAGCACCGCGACACCTTGCCTTGCAGAAGAAACCAAACGATAAATTTTCAACGTCTTCCGTCAGCTGGACGATGTGCGTCAAGTTGACATGGGCGTCGCCCACCTCTCCAGGCTCTGACCATTGGGGAGCAACCCAAGACTGTCGCCAAGGAGGGCGGTCAAGAACACTTTTAACGATATCGCGGGGACCGGCTGAATGCTCTTGAATGCGTTTGCCCAATCCCGCGCAAGGGTCAACAGAATGCAACTGAACAGTTTGGCTTGACAAGTTCTATGGATCTGCTGATCATCAGGTTATCAACAAATGTCTCAAGGGCTCTCTTGTATGTTTCCCGCGATGTCATTAGCTCCTTCATGGCTGCGATCACCAGTGCTGGCTCGGAAGGCGTGACAATTTCAATACGCGAATAGCCAATGGTGTCCCTCTGGATTCACATATGGCCGCGGACGCCTGAGTAGACCGAGCCCCGTCGGTCGCAAGCTCAACGGGGAACGGTTGGGAAAATGTTGCAAGAACATGGTCAACATCGATGGGATTGAGATACGGTGGCCTTGAGCACATGCACAGTTTTCTCCTGGTCACGGACAGAAAATTAGTTGCAGCATACGTTGACCAATAATGAAGCCAAACACGATGGAATGATTAAAAGTGAGAAAGGAGTAGGGCTAATGAGGCGTACCGGGGGGTCGTAATCCTAAACGACAATGCCTCTCTGGGAGTCCTCGCTGGTGAGTGTATCATCACATCAAAACCTAAATATGGCCAAGGCGGGAGCGTCGTGAGATCAGTGTGCCGGGCTAATGATGCTTCGTGACATGGACGAAAAAACTCGGCAATCGTGGGACCCGTATCGAGGAAGGAGAACCAAAAGTTAAATCCTTCGATGGGAAATTCATCTTGAGCCTTATTCATCCGTTGAAGTGCTAATATCCCATAAGCGAGAGATAGGAACTTCGATCCAGTTTCGATGGCGTTGAACTCCGAGGTATGATGTTTGTGCACTCGTCAAATGTAACGATGAACCAGTCATATCCGAGACGCTGAAGACCAGATTCTTCGTCGCTTTCAAGCAAAAGTGTCGGCACAGCTCCTTATACCATTCATCGATCTCATCAAGGTCTTTGTCCTTTGTCGTCGGGCCACCAGCTCATCTGGCATTGTTGCAAGAGACCGATTGGCTGCCTCGAAAACTGACTCAAACGAGACCCCACGCGACACAGATTTATGACCAGGCAGACATTGGCGTCTCAAGATCGTCATTTGAATTTCGACCGAGGCGTTCGTAGACCTGCCCAAAAAGTGCCCCGATAAGGGCAGCGGCCATTTCTGCCCCCTAACGGGACCGGCCAGTGTGTTGCCTTGGCCTCTATTAATCAAACATACTAAATACTCGACCGATTTTACGAATCGACACATGGCCTCATCTCGCGGAGGCCAGCCGACCTCTGGACTGCTCGAGTCGCGGAAGCAAATACTTAAGCCCGGTGTCTGAAGCATGAACCAGCAGAGCCCAGCTGGAGAGATTTGTTGATTGCGACGCACGTTTTTCAACACTTCTGCTACAAGGTGTGATTTTCCCGTTCCGCTTGATTGAAAAATGGGAATGCTGCGTCCGTAATATAGGGTGCTATCATATATCTTGTCGTAAACACCGAGTGCTTGCGGCAAGATTTGAACATTATCTCCCCGATAATCCCCACAAAAGAGGCCTCCAGTGGGGCCCCGGCGTTGCTCCCTAATCCGCTTGTTCAGCTAGGATGCATAACAAACCAAATATACGGGGAGATAGTCAGACGTTGACACTTTACTTCTAGTGCAAGTGATTCATGCAAGTCAAGTGGTGGTCGAAGGATTTTTGATCAAACGATGAGGCAGGGAAACCAAGACCGAGAGGGCTACGAACTCAGACACTGAACTTGTTGGAATGAGCGGATTTCTGTAGTATTTCGAGGAAGGGGTTATTAGGGATGAGAGCCTTTGCTCGTTGAAGCATGAGATGCCATAGTCTCTGGTCATCGTTAGCGATGTGGAAGAGAAGGAGAGCTTCTTCTCCAATTCATCCAGGTCCTAATTCCGAGTCTAACGAAGCAGCCATCCAGGCGAGACTTTGCAATAGATGGAAGATGGTGGTACTCGGCTGTTTCCACCACTACATTATCATAAACCGGGGGTCAGTCGTTCAGTCCGATTGTGGCTGGCTCCCACACTCACGTGAGGCCAAAGCCAGTTGGCCTCAGTACAGTCAACTCTAGTCAAGGACTCAACTGCACAAGATCGCTGACTCGTTTTCCCGTAACGGTTGTTGTGGTAATATGTCATTTCTTTAGTGAAATGTTATGCACAGCCGACGTGAGTATCCTATCGAGAAACGGCTGGGAGACATTACTATCCTACACAATTCAATGATAGAGCATTACCAACTAGTATGCGTGTCCTTGTAAAATGCTCTATCAAACAGTTGCGGCTAGCAATCAGCATTCTGAACAACTAGAGCCAATTTAGCTGCGACTTAAGTCGACGCTGATTAATTCCCTGATGCCTCCGATAAGAACGTGTACACCTAGATCGATCGTGGTGTGGGTGTGTTTGGAACAACTAATATAATCTGCATATGTGGTCATGGGCACCTCTTGGATACGGCCGACCCTGCATATATATACTCGCCTCGTATCAGTGCCACTAACAGCAGTCGAGCTACCACGCCGTCTTGACTTTCTATCTCACCTTATCTGTCAAAGTCGCTCACATGGGGATTACCAGCCATCACATTGAGTTGTATCATCCATCCCCAATAGCTAGGATCATTGCACATATCGGAGTAGATGCAACCCCCACTTGCACAGTTCCAACTACTCGGTTCTATGTAGTACGATTTCACGCCTGAATTGCATAATTCAGTTGATTACTCATCCCACATTGGAGGTCAGAATATGACGCTGGGACCCAGGACCGTTAATCATCAACAGCTGGTCATCGACCTTCCAAAGCCAGGCGTACCGGAATAGGCTTCCTCGGAGTTTGATGGTTTGGTCCTTTGAAGCAATATTGTAAATCAGGACGTGCGTTAGGATGCCTAGATGAAGTGACATAGTCAGAGGCATGAGATTTTCCGGTTCCCCGAACCTAACGCTTACGCAGATGCAATGTGCTCAAGAATCATGTCTTCCGAATCTGTGACACAAGGTTTGCAAAGCAAGCATTCCCACTGTCCATTCACTGTACTCGATGCTCTAGCCGATTCAAGTTCCATACCCTCCAGAACGCGGAATCTTGGCTCTTCACCGCCATAGAGAAAACGGCGGAAGCAATTATGCCCGTGGTGCACCTTTCGCTCAGAATGTCGATCATCCAAGATTAGAAAAAATATGGTTAGGTACCCACCGCTTTAGCGGCTTCCAATATTGTGGCACTCCCAGCTAGAGTGCAGGTGACACATTCGACATGGATGTTTTCCTCCAGCAGCTGTGTAAACGTCATGGTCTCAGAATGTACCCAGCTGATGCCATGATGCTGATCGGGATGCGTGATCCCAAATCGTCCCATTGCCACTGCAGAAAAAAATGCCCGAGATTAGGATACCTTTGACCGTACACAGGGTCATCATATCTTGTGGAAGGCTTGTGCATGAAAACAGATCGAGCGAGGCAGAGTGTTTCCTCGACGGAAGATAATCGTAGCTTCGGAGGGATCATCTCCAACCATTCCCTCTTGCTATTCGTCGAGTGGTCATTGGAAATATCCTCGAAGCGGAGCATCAAGGGACCAAGAATTACGTCAGGGATTTCAGAATAATTGCTAACATCGATGTTATGGAGGTTAGGCATCAAAATTTCACGGAGCGCTTTCTTTAATTGCAGGTGTCAGAGAAACATAGTTGCAGGATACACATCCAACGTGTCGCACCTTGACTTTGGGGATCTTATAAATTGAGGGGGGGATGGGCCAGAACTCCCTCTCTGGATCGCGACATTCATACCAGGAGCAATAGTGTGATATAATGGCCTCCCTTGCGTAATAACTGTAGGTGTCGGTGAAGAACCTTTCGCATCCCTTGACGGCTAGAATGGCATTCAGCTCAATTGTAGCCCAATCTACAAGGAGTCAGGTTGGTTAATCGGTGACGACAGAATCGGACAACCTTTGTCCAACAAAGGCTTGGCCACCCGAAGTCCTGGGAATTCACCCGCGACAGCATGGTCAACAAATGCTTTTAGAAATCCCATATTCTCCAGTTTCGACCGTACCCTGTGCGCGTTCGGCAGTGAGTTATTGACAACATCAACCTGAAGGAGGCTCACGCATTCTTGCGGGCAGCGCGAATAAGGTCCAGCTCGTTTTCTCTCTGAGAGATACGGCCTTTCGTCCACTCCGTACATAATGTTGCGTGCTGCAGGAAATTTATGGTTGAGATCACTGACGGAACGAGAATTAGCTTACTTCCTCCAATGCCTGCTTTTTTGCCCGTTGTTGGGAAACATATGACTCCCATGACTCATCACTACTTGCGACTGCCTTCAACGTAAACAATTCAAGCTCCTCCTTTGGACAAACAAGAACCACGCGTTTTGGAGGGCGTCCTTGGAAGTGGGTTAGTGGAATTGCTCGACCGAGCGGCATGTTTGCCTACGGAAGGAAATGAACGTTTGGCGGAGGAGATCTTGGCTGAGACAGACGCGATCCACCCTCACTGACGACAAAACTCCATCAATGTCGCAGTACTGCGATGACAGTCTATTTGACATGTTGGGCCGTAATGTTCTCACGAAGCGAAGGAAATTGGTGATGCGCACTGATTTTCACGACATTTGGAACACCATCGAACTTGCAAAGACCAGTCAGTGGATGAACGGGTGAAAGTGGCGCAAAACTACATCGGGGCATCATAAAATTGGGGAAAAGGGTGAAGACAAACAGAGTGACTCGTACCTGGCAATGAGACCCAAATCCTAACAAGGCATACCTCTGCTCTGTGAGATCTGGGTGAATCGGCGGCATGTCGGGTGCATACCCCTCTCGCGAGGCCTTCCACACTCCGGCAGCGCCTGGCCGTAGTAGGTACCGCGCGAATACCTTTGCAGACCGTACGAGCCGAAGTAGGTCCCGTGGCTCGAGATGAGAACAGATCTGCCAGCCTGGTGGTGAAAGGGACCGTCACCCACAGAAGAATATTGGAATATAAATACCTCAAAGACAATCTCAATAGGCATGTCATGGATAACGCGCCGCAGCTTTCCATGTTTTCTGCGTCCGGAGGTGCCTCCTCCCTGTCTCTTCGACGTAGGCGCTTTGGGGCGCTTAGCGATAGGATGATCTCTCGAGTCCAAGGGGCAGCCTTACGAGGCCAATTACCACACGACAAGTTCCATGCGTACGTGACGCTTACTGTATTCATCATCGTCGGCGAGAGTCCGAGCGGACCGAATACGTTTACGGGAGGGCACCGCGGTTGCTGAAAAAGTATGTGAAGATGGTTCACCTTGTTAAATTTTGGGAATACATACACCTCACGTTTCTCGTTCAGATTCCATCCTCCACTCCGTCTAGATGTGATTCACAAGTCATCAATACTCAAATTTCAGCGTCTAATATAGCAGATCCGGTATAACTGGCTCGGAATTCGCGACCTAACGCACGCGGTCACCACGGCAGGGAAAACCCCCCTCCTCTCGCGTGGGGATGACGCTTGACCGTCCTGACGCAGCTTCCAAAGCCTGCGCATCCAGGAAGCGAACATGTGCCAACAAACATCGAAATGCCTACTTGCCTTCCGCAGAATGTTTTTGCATATCAAGAACCCTTCCTAAGGGTGCCCAGACTTTTGAGGCAGAAACGGGGTTCAAGTCAGGGCGATTAGGGTCACTTCGCTGTGGCACAATTACGTAACATCTCTGTCGGAGAACACCGCCCAAGCGTTACAACGCCTCTCAACGGCACGCGCCGTTCCAACGCACTCAAGGCTTACTCGATTGTTCGCTTCGAGGCGTTATACTTAACGCTTTTTAACCGTTTCAACGCGTTACAACGGTTTCCAAGCGTTACAAGAATCGACGGGAATTCTCACGTTTGCTTTCCCACACTGTGCCTTCGGGTGTCTGGCACGCACTGGTTGCTGGCGTTCCTTCGTTTTTCTTTTGAATATCACAGAGATGTTGTTTTTGAGCGGTCCAACAAGGATGGCTTCTAAGTCATGTATTGTAGTTGGCTGAATTTATTGTGTCATTTCCTTTCCCACTCTAGTACTCACTCGTCGCACAACTCCGATGACTGTCTGCGCTCATGGAGTTAGTTGTGATGTTGTTACTAGAGAGGGCCGATCCTGCGTACTGGTGTCTTCAAATACCAGTCGGGCGGTGAACGCGTGAAAGTGCTGCAAAGCTTGAAAATGTGAACAAGGGGGAAGAGGACGGATCAGAACATCGTACCTGACAATGAGACCCACAAGCCTAACAAGACAAACTCCTGCTCTGACCGTGAGACCCAGTGGAATATCGGACGCGTACTACTCTCGTGAAGCCTTCCATAGTAGGTTCCGCAGTTCAAGATGGGACCACTCAGAGGAATGATGAAAGAGACAGTCAGTCACAATCCGCACTAAAACATACCTCCGGAACTACTTATGTCGATGGGTATTCCTTCAATAACCTGCTGAAGCTTCCCATGCTTTCGCCGACCGGATGCACCTCGCTCCTTCGATGTTGACGCTCCTGGGCGCTCTGAGGGGTCACCTTATCGTGCCCTCTCAGGCATGGCTACCCTTGTACGTATGTGACACTCACTCTATTCACCGTCAGCAAGGGCCTGAGCAGAATGCTACGGTATTGTGCCCTGATTGTGAGGCCATCCCCTTTACGGACACACGTGTGTTGTGTCCGTGTGTGTGCATGTGTTTGGGGAACGAGAAAACAACGCCCAGAGTGTGGGGCTGAAATATATCATGTCAGACCGGGACTGACCCGCTTCAACTGCCATATTCTCATCGCAACCTCAGGAGTAGAAATGATATCTCAGTCAAAACACATTAATCGACGTCTTGACGACCCCGACTTGAAGAAAGTACACGTACCAAAACACGGATATCTGAGGCAAACTGAGGTCTGGAGGACCCCTGCATTGTAGGAAACAAGCACGATTGCGATATGATATATGCAATGCTATCCAATCAGACATTGGACATCTTCTGTCTTACACCATGTACATGGGCTCACCCGACATAGAATTCGGTTGGGAAAAGTCCAAGGAGAATGTTTGGTAGTTCCCATTGTTAGACTCATGTTGAGCAGATTGCCTTCGATTAGACAAGATTCCAGACTGCGAAGACGCCCTCAAGAAGCCTAGGCTGAGAAACAAAAGTTCGCATTTTCGTGTGATGGGGGACCCAGACCCTCTCGGCTAGTGTATAGCCTCGTGCGGCTACGATTGTGAGAGAGGGAAATTCCTGCCCGACAGCCGACAAGTCGGGGTTTGCTGCTGTGGCTCCGCGCGTGAGCAACCAACCCGAAAGTACCAGATGGAGCTTACTCGGATGGTTCACGTTGATGTGGGAAAATGATCAAGGGTGCGTGACCTTGCAATCTGACGCCCACTCATCTCCGCCATGAACGTCTTTTTGGGGGTTCAGCCTTGGGGATCTAGTCCTAGAATGAGTTTTGGCCTCGACCTTTATCTTATCTTAATACAACTGCCACCCAATAGGCGAATTTTTTCTAAAATCACTCGTGACCCAGACTTTAGATTGCGACCCTTGATCCATGCAGCACAGCTAGCGCTGGGCTGCGGATGGCTGTATGTATTGGCCAGGAGATCGATTCATCTTTCACGTCATTCGAACGTGCGAGGATCTCTCTGATGCTGGTGCTGGAATTGGCCTGGTGACCCATCAGTGCTATCACTGTCCGAGGCCTCATGCCCTCAAGCAATCTTCTTGCAGTGCTAGAGTCGTATGAATATGGGACTTCAGTCCCAATGACGGTTCGTCGATCACTCCATTTGTGGCTCTAATCTGAAAAAGCTGTGACTCGCACGGTTAATGTGCATGCTTTACGTTACCTGTCCTACCTGGGAATAGGTTTGAGGCATAAGTTGTGACGATTTGTACGAGGGACGTGTGATCAGCAGAACAATACATACTGGCGTTCAGTACGAGGCAACTGACTCTCTCCAGTCAGGTTCAATGTTACTTGAGGAGGCATTAGTTTCGAACGTGCGCTCCCTTGGTTCACTGTTGGTCTCTAAGATTGTCGCGCACAACGGACCGGCCGAAGACCTACTCGTGGCTTTCTCGGCCGTTTGACGCTGAGGTTTGACGCAAATTATTGACATATTCTCGCACGTGATTAGTTGGATCGATAGGGGTGCTTTGAAGCACATGAGGTTGTGCAGGTACCTGACCGCTAAGGCTGTCCTCGTCGTATGATGGACCTAATCCAGCTGCAGGGGGCTTTGGTGATTGCGCCGTTCATCAGAGCGCTTCCATTCTTGGTTCGGCTCTCACACATCGTATTGGAAACCTCATGACCTACCAACATCAGAGCCTAGTCCCATGTTGTGATGTTCTGCGTAGAACACCTCTGGGGAAATTTTCCATAAAGTGTGTCGCGTTGATTTTGTGCATTGTTCCTTAGGCCTCTTAGTCCTGGGATTTGACACATGGACACTTCGGGCTTCCCGACCC